GCGGTCGGCGGCCGCGCTAGTTCAGCTGTCGCCTGGGCTCCACGTCGCCAGAGGGCCGGTGGGCTGGAGCGCACGGAGCCCAAGCCGGCGGCAGCGTGCGGAGCCATGGCGGGGCCCGGGCCGGGGGACCCGGACGAGCAGTACGACTTCCTGTTCAAGCTGGTGCTGGTGGGCGACGCGAGCGTGGGCAAGACCTGCGTGGTGCAGCGCTTCAAGACGGGCACCTTCTCGGAGCGCCAGGGCAGCACCATCGGCGTGGACTTCACCATGAAGACGCTGGAGATCCAGGGCAAACGGGTCAAGGTGGGCCGAGCGGGACGGGACCGGCCCTCGCCCGGGAGCCCCTCGCTGCCCCTGCCCCCGGAGTGCGGTACCCGGGGGCGAGCAGGGACCAGGAAGTGGCGGCTTTTGAGGCTCGAGGGCAGAAAGTTTCTGCCCGAATTTCCGGCCTGGCCACGCCTCCTCCCGCGCCGCTTTGTGGCCCCGGTGGCGGTGGCGGAACTTTCCTCGGTCCCCTCCCCCGCCGGCCCGAGCAGTCCCAGAACTCGGCGGATCCGGAAGGGGGGGAGCGGACGAGGCTCGGCCACCGAGCGGGCCGGCAGGATGTGGGTGCCACCGTGTCCCGCGCGGCTGGCTGAGTGACAGACACTTGCGATGAATGAAATCGAGGTGCCATCCCCAGCGACAGAGCGGCAGAGCGCTCCGAGACCGGCACTGCGATTCCTGCTCGCGGCGGCTCCTGAGCCGCCCTCTGCAGATGCACGGGTCCACGTTCAGGGGTTTCAGGACTGCCCTGGGGAGCTCAGGGGAGGGGCCTTCGCTGTCGCTGTGGTTTCCCGCAAGTGGGAGTCAGTTTGGTGGCTCTGCCAGTCTGGGTGCTTCAGGTCTGCTCGTGGTTGCCTTTGGCTGGGATAGTTAGCTCTTTGTCTTTGTTTCTGTAAAATTGGGAAATTCCAGGGTGTCGCCTCTGTCCTGCCCCACCGTGGAGGAAAGTCTTCAGCCTTTACAGGGCCGAGAGGCCTCTAGAGTAGACACGGCTGGGGAGCCAGGAACCCCTGCCTGCAAAGTCTCGCAGTCTTTTGGGTTGCAGGGTGTTTGGGTCTGCACAGAGTGAACGAGGGCAGGTTGCAGTCAGGGACCTAGAGTCTTTTGGGGACCACCCCTTTTGGAGGAGGTGGCAGAGAAGGGCGGCTATAGGTGGACTGTGCCCAGGGTTGAGCCTGTGGCGATGCCAGCAGCCACACTGAAAGGGCAGTGTGAAAACGGAGGCACCCATGAAGAGCAAGAGCCCTTCTGGAAAGCGGCTGGTCGTGCCTGCGGTGTTTGTGGTGGCCCTGTGTTGGCGGCGAACAGGGAGGGGGCGGGGCTTTTGTTTACCTGTCCCAGCGGAGCCTGGGTGGACTGTGCACACGGCATATGTTATGCAATACAGGACCGGCAGTTCATTGTTTCTTTTCCTTCTGTCACCCCCTGATTGTCCATCTTACGAGGTGGCCAGGTGGGGCTATGTAGGAGCCCCAGCACCTCTCAGACATACAGCTGCTTACCTTCTGCAGAGGCTGCTGTGAGCCAGCGATTGTACAGTCTTCTGCTCACTGGAGGGCATTGTGATTATAGTAATAATTTTTTTAAAACTAGGAATTGAACCTGGGACCTCAAGAATGCTGCGCACGCTGGACGTGGTGGTGCCTGCCTGTAATCTCAGCTTGCGAGGTTGAGGCAGGAGAATCGATGCAAGTTGGAGGCTAGCCTGGGCTACACAGTGAGTTCAAGGCCAGTCTGAACTACATAGTGAGACCTTGTCTCAAAAAACAAAACAAACAAAAAAAGAATGCTGTGCTCATGCACTGCTACTGAGCTACACCCCCAGCCCCAGCCCTCTATCTAACCCCCAGAATTAGAGGGAATTATTACTCTCGGTTCATTGTGCACAGACTTGCCTTGGACGCAGCCAGGAAGTGACGGGCGTGGAGAGGTTCTGCTGAGTTTTTCTAACTTGAGAGCACTGTGCTCTTTCCCCTCCTGCAGACTGTCTGTTGGAAGGGGTTGTTTACAGGGAGAAAGCCTTGGCAGTGATTTCCCTCCTCACTTTGCAGTAGGGGAACCCTGAACCCCTGCCCCCAGGGAGGCTGGAATCAACTCAGTAGCAGTGGACCTTGTAGGAACCCTGTCCTTCACTTTGGGAGAGCAGGGTTCTGCTGACTCAGCAGGAGCAGTGGGGGTGGGGGTGTGTGGGGAGTAGGGGTGTGGGGGGGTGTTTCCCTTCCTGGAGTCTGTTTCCTCATCTATAAAGTATCTTCTCAGGGTCTTCAGCCTTTCATGTGATTGTGATTGTGAGTATATATGTTTGGGGATCAAAACCAGGATACTGTACCACTGTACCACTTGGTCTATAGTTCAGTCTGGCCTCAGGTGATCCTCCTGAGTGCTAGGATTATAGGCATGTACCACCACAGCCAGCCTTTATTGTTTATTGTGAGATAGGGTCTTGATAAGTTGCCCAAGCTAGACTTAAACTTGCTATCCTCCTGTATTGTCATTTTTTTTTTAAAGTAATTTTGTCACGGGCTGAGGGTCCCCAGGCTGAAATAAGGAATTCATCCACCCCTTTAAAATCAGTTCATGGGTTCTCTGATTCCTTTCACAGAAAAAGAATTTTCAGGACACAGCAGTAAAAGGGGGGTGAGAAGAGTTTTTTACAGGGAGATACAAGAACTTCTCAAAATTTTGGGTACTTAAGGAAATGACGCCCAATACAGGAGCTGGGAATTTTTGTGTGTGTGCCAGGAATTGAACTCAGAACCTTGTGCTTACAAGCCAGGCCTTTGCCACTGAGTTACATCCCTGGCCTGCACTGGGGATTTTTTGTGTTTTGGAATTTGATGGAATTAGATAATCTCTAGTCTTAGTCTTAGTGGGTGGGAGAGGGTGGCTAACCCCAGTGAGATAATGGTCTATTCCTAAGGGAAACCCCAAAAGCATGGTCCCTTCATGGGTGAGTGAGGACCATTTGCAAGTAAAAGGGAACGGGCAAACTCCAAAGGACTTGGCCAGTTTTGCTATTTTGGGAGAAGGATAAAAAGTAAATCCAGCTTGTGATAAGAAGCTGTATTTTTCTTTTTCTGGTGGTTTTTTTTTTTTTTTTCTTGGTACTAGGAATTGAACTCAGGACCTTGTACTTGCCAGGCAGGCGCAGTGCCACTGAGCTATACCCCGCCACTGCCCTTTTGTTTGTTTTTGAGGCAGCATCTCACTATGTAGTGCAGGTTGGCCTTGAACTTGCTTATGTAGCCCAGGCTGGGCTCAAACTTGCAGCGATCCTCCTGCCTTAGCCTCCTGAGTGCTAGGGTTACAGGTGTGTACCACCACACCCAGCTGTTTGTTTTTTGAGATAGGGTCTCAGTATGTATTCCAGACTGGCCTTGAACTTGCTGTGATCCTTCTGCCTCAGCCTCCTAAGTGCAGAGATTATAGGCATGCGCCACCATGCCCAACTCTTTCCTGTTACTTTATTATATGCATCTGCTCATGGCATTTATGAGACATGAAATTACCTGGTTTATCCTTTCCTTTAGAAGATTAGCTCCTTTAAGACACAGGGACCCACTGGCTAGCCGCAGTTACACAGTGTTCAGTACATGCCTGTTCATCAGTTCGTATTTTAGAGAGCAAGCTGAAGACACGAAAGGTAATGCAACTGGCTTACCCAAGGTCAGTAGCAAAACTAGGATTTGAATCCAGATGCTGGCTAGCTTCTCAGCACAGTGCTCAGTTTTACAGTTGACTGTTGTTTGGGTTCCTTTTGAGTTCATAAAGAAGCCTGGGGCCCTGAAGGTCAGTGCATCTGTGTGCATGGAACTCGCTGAGAAGGCTGTGGACTTGGGCTGAACTCGGGGTGGCAGTGTATTTATTTACCCAGCTACATTTCTGTAGCTCCAGACAGCTTGAGGTATGCTGGACTAGTTGGCAAGCCTTTGCACATGGTCATCACTTCCTGGGTCCACGTGGGTTCCTATGGCTCTGGCTCCCAGTGTCATAGACAGCCAAGTTAGGTAGAGATATCCTAGGCAGTCAGACAGGGCTGGACCCTCGAGGGAGTCAGTGCAGAGGATGAGAACACAGTGCCACCCTGGCTGGAGGCGCATCCGCTGGAGACCAGACTTGTAGATAAAGACGAAACAACCAGGCCTTCATTGCCTCTCTGAGGGTTAAGCAATATATTATAATCGATATCACCTGGTCCAATAAAGTCTAGGTAGACATCAGTCACCAGGTGGGTGACCAGGACCTCCTGACTCATCTCATCCAAAAAAGGTCCTGGTAGCTGGGTGTGGTGGCGCATGCCTGTAATCCCAGCACTCTGGAGGCCAAGGCAGGAGGATCGTTGTGAGTTCAAGACTGGCCTAAGCTACATAAGTGAGCTCAAGGGCAGTCTGAACTGCATAGTGAGACCCTGTCTCAAAAAGACAAAAAAAAAAAAAAAATCCTAGTTCTTTCTATGTACATTTGTTGGGTGATCTGCTTCCCCATTGGATCAACATTACCTACACGGCTGTAGTTGTAATCTTATTGGTTGACCATAGTTTTGTCCCACGTTGTAGCTGCTTCATGATTTTGCAGCCACCTCGTGATTTGGCCCTATAAAACTTGCTCTAGGGGCTGGGGATTTAGCTCAGCGGCAAAGCGCCTGCCTGGCAAGCGCAAGGTCGTGAGTTCGGTTCCCGGTACCAGAGAAAAACCAAAAAAAAAAAAAAACTTGCTCTGGAAAGTGGGGTCTGTAGCATCCCACTCAGGTCCCCTCTTTTCTCAGGAGCTATATCTCTCAGTAAAGTCTCCTTTTTCTTTTTTTTTTTTTTTTTTTTTTTGAGACAGGGTCTCGCCATGCAGTTTAGGCTGGCCTTAAGTTCACTTTGTAGCCCAGGCTAGTCTCGAACTCTCAACGATCCTCCTGCCTCAGTCTCCCGAGTGCTGGGATTATAGGCTTGCACCACCATGCCTGGTTCTCAGTAAAGTTTCTTACTCTTAACCTCCGTTGTTCCTTAGAATTCATTCTTCAGTTTTGGGGAACACAAACTTGTCAGATCTAGTAGGTTGAGAGTTATAATATTTCCCTTATGTCAGTTAGAGGTCCTATATCACCAGGACTTCATATATCTGAGTGCTCCTGGTCGTTCAGACTTGGAGTTGCAGAAAAAGAGCACTGAACCAGGAGTCTGAAAGTGGGGATTTACTTGCATCTCTGTCATAACCTTGAGCAATTCAGATTCTCATTTGGAACCTCAGACTTTTCATTCTTCAAATGG